TCAACTTTCTTCGACATTTCAAGTTAAAGCACTTTCCATACATTACAGACAATCAGGACATATTTAGCCTTAAATAAAGAAAAAGTTAAAGTTTGTCATTTTATACTGCTAATACAACAATAGCCCAAATTTTAGGAGTTAGTTTCTTATTTTTGAGAAAATTTTCACTCTATCTTCCATATGTATCCTTCTTGTGCTTAGCTACTTACTACTTTGTTGAAACGAATGTATTGGATTGATTAGAGTTATAGTTCTCGGCATCTTCTTTCACCATAAATTGAAGTGCTGCTATCTGTGAATAAAAAACTCCTACTATTTGCTAGTGAAATTTGACTCAACTCTATCAAAGAACTTTTGACTTGTAAAAACTCGCAATCAGTTGCTTAAATTTTAAGCAATGAATGGAGTTGTTAAATCTTTCTTTCACTTTATTAAGTAGAAAAATTCCCATCACACTATCATAAGTCTTAATTGGATTATAGGGTGTTTTACTCTCCCTTTTCTGATGGTAAATGGGGCAAAAAACCAAAAGGTGGGAAGTTCATTAAGGTTCAAGACAAGGCAAATGATTAGTCCATTTTTCATATTTTAGTGGTGGACTTGTATATCCTTTTCCAAGTTCAAGTTAATCTTGTACTTTTTACCACTCCAATCTTTACCTCAGGGCTCAGGCTTTACAAGATTGCATTTCATTTGTTGTTGCTTCTCAGTTATTTGATTAGTGGATGTTAGCTGTATTTATATGCTGAGCTTCTTAATTATTACTGACAGGGAAGATAAACTAGCAGAACGTGCAAAGGCACTCAAAGTAAATGCTGGAACTGAACCTGGTGCTGCCCTTGGACCAGTAATTAGCAAACAGGTACATACTTTGACCCTAATTTCTACTTTGATAGGAGATTTGCAGTTGGGTTACTGGAGCCACTTGAGCTTGTACTGCAAAATTACCATGCAGTTATCTTTTGTCAAGTAGCTTCGGTTCTTTGATGAATTTTAGTGCTACTTTAAGTTCACCTTCTTGGATTAATTTATCGTAATTATTTGGTGTGGCATCCATAGGTCAGGGAACGGATATCCAAGCTAATCCAAGCAATTGTTGATAGTGGTGCGAGACTAGTTCTTGATGGGAGACAGATTGCGGTACTTTCACTTTGTTTTGTGTTTTATCAATTTTTATGCTTCCAGAGATGGAGATATCCTCCCACCTCCAATACAAAAGGGACTCTAGGTTGAAAGAGACCTGAGCTGATTTAAAAATATTGAACTTGATACCCTTATTGAAAGAAAATATTGAACTTTTCTTACAGCTGGTATTGTAGTAGTTGTATAATATACTGGATTGTCCTGATAGTGCTACCTCATGAGTTATACTTGCGTCTAAATTGCAATATTTTTTCCGAAGACATACAAATAAAACTGAATGCAATTGGAGGTCAAATAAAGTCATCTTTCTTGTCTCTACTTGTAAGGGGGCTAAAGAAGAATAGCAGGGTCAATTTCTCATAATCCAATTTCTTTGATTGAGGTCATGTTTCATCTTGAAAGCAATAACTTCCTTAAATGGCTAATCTATTAGATTCTTGTTTGCGTTTTCTTCCAGATTGACCAGACCTATTAGTTTGATTCCTTGGATCATTTGTTTCTGCTAGAAAAAAAGGTAGTGTTGCAGAGTTTTCACAATTAGAATATTCTTTTGGATGTCAGTTTCCGTGGCAGTGATTGCATTTTCGTTGAGAAACTCCTAGAGATAGGAGAAGGAATGTGGTCTAATATGGAGTTCCTTTTTGCAACTTAAAGGTACCAAAGCTGCTTTCCTCTCTCTTAAACATTTGTGGATTACAAATAGGTTTCCAAATACGAGTCGGGGAACTTCTTCGGTCCCACAATATTATCAGATGTCACAGAAGACATTGAATGTGCCAAGGTATCTAGTTTTCGTTCTAATTCCTTGAGTACTTTCATGCACGCGCAAAAAGTGTATTACTAAGTGCTATTGTTCCTTTTGTATGCAGGAGGAAATACTAGGTCCCGTTCTTCTTTGTATGCAGGTTAGTCATATGTTTCTAAGGTTCCAGACCCCTGTTCTTTTGCTGCATTTCTTGTGAATTCACTGAAATTTTCTTACCTCTTGGTCTTTTTAACTGCAGGCTAATAGCATAGATGAGGCCATTAACTTAGTGAACCAAAATAAGTATTTCCCATTACTTCCTTATTAAATCTTTGTGTGAAGTTTTCTGTTTTATTTTTATCTTATCATTTATGCTGCTTTTATGAAGAAAATATTGCAATGGAACATCTATTTTCACGGCCTCCGGGACACTTGCGAGGAAATTCCAGATTGAGATCGAAACAAGGCAGGTAAGACATTGCAATAGGGGAGTAGAAATAGGTGAATATTTTTGATAGATTTTATTCAGGTTGCATCTTTATGAAGGAGAAGGAATGGTGAAGTTCAGGAATATGAGAAAATGCATTCTGATTAAAGTTTTCAATTCAGAACTGATACAAAATAAACACTAAATTTTAAAAGGTGAAGAATATAAAAAGTATATTTTAAGTACAACTTAAAACCACCTTTGCTATTTAACATAACGAGAAGAAATAGCCCTCTGTAAGAAGAAGAAGCCTCAATTAGTGAAAAAGTTTAATTCTTATCGAAATTAATAACTGAGGGGCAATTTAGTCCACTCACAGAAAGAAGTAACAACTAACAACTACAATTATTAACACTCCGAAAAAGGTCTGACAAGGAAAGATTTGAAGTAAGTTGTATTATGGAGAAACTGAGGCATCTAAGGGTGTGGCCTAGCAATCAATAAAGTAGGAAAAACCATGAGAAACAAGAGTTACCCGATACTTGTGCTAGTCAAATGAGTGTAGTAGTCAAGGTGCTCACAAGCTAACCTAGACACCGTCATTACAAAAAAAATAACAATAGTAAATGGAGAAATTGAGAAACTTGTACAACCAAATTGGTGTCAGAAAATTTGATAATTTTGCGCATGTTGATGGACTCAGGTTTGCATAAATGCTGCTGTTCCTGCTCCTCTGCCCCTCTTTTCTCTCACATGCTCAGAGTTGTCTTTTGCTGGGGATATCAATGCCAATGGTAAACATACTTGGAATAAATGCCTTTGTTCCTATTATCTACTAATTTGTCCTGCATCTTAGTTGTCTTAATTGGAGCTGTGGGCTATGTAGGCAAAGCTGGTGTACAATTTTACACCCAAATAAAGACAGTGACTCAGCAATGGAAGGAGTTCTCCAGTAGTGAAGGAGGATTGCCATTCTTAACATCAAACTACCCCCAAAGTGATGATGGATTATCTCAGGGACTGCAAGCTTTTCAATATCAGAGTGGCGCTGGTGATTATCAAAGTGGCGATGGAGTAACTGAGGGATTACAATCTATTGATTACCAGAGTGTTGGAGAACCGCTGGCGTTATATTCAAGGGATTTCTCAAATGGAGATGGAGTCCATCTGGCTTTACACCCAAAGGATTTCCCAGGAGGTGGTGATGGTGAATCTCTGGGAGAACATTCAGGGGACATTCCAAGCGGTAATGGTATATCCCCAACAATACCAATATCTGATGGATCACATTGGACATTGAACTTTTGAATAGCAATTATTTACAATTGGAACTAGAAAAATGTATAGTTTTGTTTGCTAAAGGATTGATTTTAGTTTTTTTTTTTCTTGATATATTTTCCCGAAATGAGTAGCTGAGCTATTTTCTGTTGGTTCCTTCTTTGTCTGATGGATCTGGTCCAAGAAGTGACGATGATCATATGTGAAGATTGGTTGCTTGGAAGTGTAATATTTGATGTGAGAGCTATGTGCTGTTGGTGCTAATTGAAGTCTAATCTGAACGTCTTTCACCTGAAAATTGCATGTAGGACTCCAAAATTTCGATGTGGTGGAAGTTTTAACAAATTGTGTAGCATCAATATGGCAGTATTTTGTAACAATGTACTGGTTTTTTAATTAAAAAAATTAAGAGATCTTTGGAAATGTTGAATGATCATTTTGCGTTTTTTATGTGGCTACATCCCGTTATACTGCCTCCAGTCGGTGGAAAGAAAAATGTAGGCTGACGAGATGTCAATACACAGTGCTATAATAAGATTCGTTTCTTAGACAAATAGACAGTAAAGTAAAGGAACCTTACAAGGCTTGTAGTTATTGAGACTCTTGGTAATTTCCCATACAGCAGTTGAATGAATTCTTCTTTTCTCTTTTCCTTCCCCCTTAGTAGAAAAGGTAAGACTACCCTTAAGAAAATAAAATATTTTATTTATTTGGATCTGTTTCATTCTACTAAACTATTGTACAATCTTTAACCAAACTTAAAAGCCTCTTGTCCAACCCATACTTAAATGTAAAGTGCCACTAATGACTAATCTTAACTGCCACTAATTGGACTTGTCTATAGTCTATACATATGCTTCCATTGTACATTTGATGGTCTAAATTGACCAAATCCCCCCATATGTATGCTACTAGCACGTTTTCGTTAGATGTTATCATTCCAATATTGCCTATCCCGTATGTTCACTTAACATCTACATTTCCATTGCGATGATTATCTTTGGATATTTGCGACTTATAAACCTAACATTTACTCACATATAATATTGATAGTCCCACAACATTCTTATAAAACTTGCATTTCATTTTGGGTGAATGTCTTCCTATCCCATAACAATGTTGCAACACTTATCTATTTTAATCAATATTCAATATGACTTGAAAATTTGTGATCTATTCTGAACTTCATCAATCATGACTGGTTTTTCGAATATATTAGAGAGCTAATTACAGAGCTGCAATCAAGAAAATAGTTAAGCAAAAAGACTCGAAGGTGGCCGATATGCAATATCACCAATATAATTGGTTGTTTCTCCTTTAGTTTTTTTCTTCCATATTTTAAAAGGGGTTCTTAACTTTTAAAAAACAAAATATACCCGACACAGTATGACAAGTGACGTGGCTGATCTCCAAACTGGATAGCTTCCAAATGGGCAAAATTTTCCATTTTTATATGCAGCGAGGCAATATTTCCCTAACTCCTTATCACTGACTCTGATCTTCATCATCATTCATCAACTATCGGATAATCTCTAAAATAGTTTCTGAAATCGATAAAGAGTTAGAAAATTGCAATATCATTTATCTTCTCTGCTCTTTAAAAACACCATTTTCTTGGACCAAATATATAGCACGGTTAGTCTGAGGAACAATGATGCAGTTTTCAGTCCATAGAAGTAAGATTTCCCCAATTTATAGAATACCCTTTTTATTATTTTCCATATTAATCATGTCTGTTAATTGATATTAAAAACCCATAAATCTTGAATTTGTTGCAGTGAGGAAAGTGAGGTCTTTGACTCCAAGGGTTTTTGCTCTCTCTAATCATCACTTCTCAGTTGCAGTCAGTAGCTCTTTACGCCTTGTTTTAGTTTATTCTACTTTTTTTCTTAATCAACCACTCTTGATTTTTTCCCATTAATATGAAATGGACTGAAATGAAGCAAGTTTAAGCTTAATTAATGTTGAAGGTTCTGCCTTTCAGATATGAAAAATAGCCTTAGTGTAATCATACTTTGTTCTAATACTTTCTGTTTATACAATAGCTTGTTTCAATCAGAGATGCAGCTTTTAGTCTATCTAAGTTTTTTATGAAGCAGTGTTTTGAGCTAAAAACTTTCTTGGTCTTGTTTATCAGAGATTTCCAAATTTAATTGGTGGCAGCTTTGTTGATTCAAAATCATCAGAATTCATTGATGTTATAAACCCAGTAAGTGAATCGCATTAAAGTTGCAAATTTTACATGAAATGCTAATATGTTGGGTGCAGAATGTTCTTGGTTCCAGTTAGGGGAAGTTTTTGATTGCTTGAGTTTTGGTTATAGGCAACACAAGAGGTGGTTTCTCAGATACCTTTAACCACAAATGAGGAGTTCAAATCTGCAGTTACTGCAGCCAAGGAGGCGTTCCCGTCATGGAGGAACACACCCATAACCACAAGGCAACGGGTCATGCTCAAATTCCAAGAGCTTATTAGGAAGAACATGGTTTGTTTTTGTTCAATTCTGGTATCTTTCTGCAGTTCTTTGCTTGTGATCTCTGTTCACGTCATTTATCATATGTTTGTTCCAGGATAAGCTTGCCTTGAATGTGACTACTGAACAAGGAAAGACATTGAAAGATGCACAAGGCGATGTATTCCGTGGTCTTGGTTGGTTCTTCACTCACTAAGGCATAGGGAAACATCTTCTATATGATGACCGTGAACTTGAATTTCTGTTTTCTGTTTTATGAAGAGGTGGTGGAGCATGCATGCGGAATGGCGACTTTGCAGATGGGCGAGTATATGTCTAATGTATCAAATGGAATTGATACATATAGCATAAGGGAACCTCTGGGTGTTTGTGCTGGGATTTGTCCGTTCAACTTTCCGGCAATGATTCCCTTATGGGTAGGCCTATCTTATTTTTTTTGCTCCTTTCGCAGTTTCCATACATTTCAAGTGCCTTTCTCAAATCTCTTTATTGTTTAGTCTCTGTTCGAACTTGGTTGCCTTCTCTTTGACTTCTAACTTGCTTGAGGAATCAGTCTCATTTTCACATAACAACACTATGAGATCAAGAAAGCTTTTGTTTGTGATTGGTATGAATTTGTTTTTTTCTTTTCTTTTCCTTTTTTTTTTGTGTGTGTTGGGGGGTTTGG